GGGAGAGAGAATGGGGAAGGATATGAGCCGCGTATAAGTTTGGAGCGTTGCTGCCTCCCGTACGGCGCCATACGCGTCCCCGGTAATGAGCCAGGCGCGCGTCGGAACTCATTTCGGCCGAGGCGGGACGGGCTCGGGGACGGCCCAGCCCAGCCCAGGGCCGAGGTCCGGCCGGCCGGCTCCCTACTGGTGGTGCGAGCAGCGCCATTGGCCACGGCCGTTTGATCTCGCGGGCTCGCGGAGGATCTCCTCTTTCAAAGCAGCTGCCGCCAGCGGTCCCTCCCTATGCATACAGCGGCCGAGGCCGTGGCCGTGGCCGGGGTCGTGGCCGGGAGAACACGCGGCCGAGAGCGCCAATATTATCTCATCAGGAGGGGGTCCTTCATCAGCAGGCGCCCTCAATTATTACCTGAGGCACACCCGGGAGCAACCTCCGGAGGAAACCTCGGGAGCAACCGAGGCGAAAAGACCGCAATAACGAGGCGAGCGGAGCAGGGAGGGCGGCGGAGGCGGGCGAACGGCAGGGTGGAGTAGACAGATGCTGGGCATTCTGGGTACGCCTGCCGCCTGCTGCCGCCTGTGCATGGGGTGCAGCGAAGGAGGAAACGACTCTGATCTACGTGAACAACGGATTATCACTGGATTACCCCGGAATATCATTCGATTTCTTGGGATTACCCCGATATACCCCCGGATAGTGTATATTTCAGAGCTGGAAGTGAATAAGTAAATTGGAACAACAAAAGGCGCACTCATGCGCAGACGCAGTGGGGGAATCTGGGGAGGGGTGAGGGGCGTTTGCGCGTGCCCCTTTTGTTTTTCCATTTTACTTCTTCACGTCCTGCTATATGAAATAGCCTATTGGCGTGGGGCGTGTCTAGCTAGCGGACAAGTCGTGTCGCCCTCGGCTGCAGCGGCAGCTCTGTCATTTCTACGACGCGATTTGCAATCGGAACCATAGCACCACACACGGACACAGGCTCTGTCCGAAAGGTGGGTCGGTGAGCGATCGGTCGGCGACCGGTCGGTGTGCGAGAGAGATAGCGGCCGTGGGAATAGCATAAGTCTGTCTCTCTCACTCCGACCGACCGGTCACCGACCGATCGCCACCGACCCACCTTTCGGACAGACCCATACACACATTATCAAATATTGACTCGGCGCGGCGGTATTTCCAGCCCGCGGGATTGACTCGGTCCCGTTTGCCGAGTGGGGTGGGGGCGTGTGTGTCGCTCAGGCTCAGGTGTTATTGGTGGCGGACATATTGTAACACCAGCCAGGCAATAAGCGTGAAAAGGCGGGGGGGGGGGGGGTGAGTACAACTTGCACCTCTGTGCAATCTACTCAACGAATACATTTATAAAAGTCGACTGTATTAAATGATACATATAGCTAATGACCTGGACTAAAAAAATAATAAGAAGAAAAATGAACACCCTTTTCGAGTGTCTATTTTCAGAATGTGGTCGCAGTTCACTACCTCCTGTCTTATTAAATTCGCGGCCTGCTAGTGTCTAGGCTTTCGGTTGCCCCCCGTTTTACACGCCGCGGACGCCACAACAATCTCCTCGCCCCTGTGCGTAATAGCTCCATGCAAATGCTGCCGCCTTCACGGCCACTATCAGTCACTATTTTGACGGCACACATTCCCTGGCAACACCTGGCCGACAAGAAACAACGAAAAAATAAAAAGAGTCGACGTGCCAAAACGAGAACATCCAGTCTACAGTGTACGGTACCTCCAAGTGACGATGGTTTCGTCCGCCCGTCGGACACAGTGGGATTCATATCGGTCATTGGGCAGGCAGTCCCCTTCATTAGGCGTTTCGCTGGTCACAAACTCCATGACGGCACGCACAATCACAACACAAAACACTTCGACGCCTCGCGACACTTTGCTCACCGGGTCTGCACTGCAACTGACCGCTCGATCGGTAGAGCCATGTGCTGTCTCTCTCCCTCACTTGCTGAGAGCCAATCAGCGGCCGGCGCGGCGCTCTCTCTCGCACACCCCGGCAGCCCGGCCCGGAGCGGCTGCATCCGAAGACTACACCGACCAGCGTGTGAGCTCGCCTGCTTCCCGACTCCCAGGCAGCAGGCAACCGTTGCGACACCGTAAAATCCCCCAGCCAGGTAGCGTTCTGAATAAGCCGGGAGCAGCATCAGATTCATGTAATAATAGTAATATGACGTCGTTTCGACATCGTTGCTTTCAATGAAAAACAAATGAAACTGTGTATGTTTTTTTTGTTGTTTTTTTTTGCTACCGAATGAATATTATTTCTGGCCCTGATCATTATATATCATTTTCGAACGGCGCGACAAGCAGAAAAGTCGGGGGCAAAGGGTTGAGAGGGCCTCTGTAGTAATTACTCTTTTTTATTTCGGCCTCTCCCTCATTTACGGAGAGACTCGGTCGGATTCACAAAATGAAACCGAACAGATATACCGCAGCGCAGATGGACTGTGCTTGGAGGAGACGCGTGGCTTCATGTCCGTGGTAATCATTTCAAAAACCTCGATAACCGTTTTATAAAACGAATTCGCCTGAATGGCCGGAGACGGAATTCGCGATCCCCGGAAAACTTCTACTCCGCTCGCGGCCTTGCCACTTTACCATTAAGAAGAACTTGTGTTCTATTCCACATGTTTACTGCAATATTCATGTTATCTGTTGCAGATTGTATGCGGGTTGACCGCGATGGTGATGGGGGCGGTGGGGGTCATCGAGGAGCACGGCGAGCTCAACCTGGGCCTCGGCATACCGGCGGGCGGAGCCAGCGTCCT